CCGATATACACTCAGGAAAAACAGGGACTGAAAAGAATCTATCTCTTCACATTCACTACCTTGACTGTGAAATATATATATATATATAATTAGACCATAGTATAGAATCACAGAATCTCTGCAGGTGATTTGGTCACAGCCCAGTTCACCCTTATGACCTGGCATCTTGCAACCTTATGCATGAAATGAATATACTAGACTATTAAATTAAATTCCTATCTAACATAAGTTTAATTTTCTTATTTCTTTGTTTTATTCATTTGAGTAAGTACTCATTATTATCAAATATAAAAGACTCTAATTGTCTCTTATTATTGTCCCCTTGGTGGTGATACTGAGGGCCACTCTCCTGAGACAGCTGCCAGGACTGACAGCTAAAGAGCCACAAAAACAATCTCTCCAAATCTTACTCAAGCAATGCAAGTTGATATTTCTTTTGTAATACAGTTGACATATTAAAAAAAATTATAAACACAAATTGCTCAAATGAAAGCATTTTGAATAGACTTCTCAACAGAGTTGTGTTTTTTTTTTTGCATGCTTCAGTGATAGTGATTCTTTTTATCAGTCAAAGTAAATCAATATTTATGTCATCCAAGAAATCTGACTAATGCTAGGAATTACTGAATAGGCAATTACATTTCAAATGCAAAATTTAACAAAATAATGGTATAATGCAGGAAGCAAATGAAGTAGCAATGCAGTAAAACCAAGCGCTTTTCAAAGAGCCTGCTGATTTGAAGCTTCTCCACAATCCGTTTTCAAACCTTCTTTTGATATTCATAAATTCAAATTAAATAATGGAATTGATGAAAGAAATAGAAGATGTCTTAAAGGTATCATCTTTCAACATAATATTCTTGGGGAGTTTATGACTACAAACAGGGTGGCAGCTTTAGCTACTTTAACAGTGAGCTTCAAGGAACAAGGCTGAAAAGTATGTTCATGAGGAAATATGTCACGTTCATTAAATGCTTAACATATCATAAGTGAAGAGTTATTTTTTTATAAACGCATACGTCTTTCTCCCCTGCTCCAAATTCTAATATGCATTTATTCATCTAAAATATCTCTTTCCTACTGTAGAAGTGGAAAAATAATATGATTCAGTAAAATCATTCTTCTTTGAATTTACACACTTAGCGATTATAATTGTCAACTTAGTTTGACAAATTATTCCTATAACATCCATCACAGGGCCTGAGAATCCAAAAGTAACAGATAAACTCCGCTGAGTCATATCACTCTACTTGTGATTTTGCTTATTTATAAATTTGACATCAACATATAGTTCTACATTGATTTTTTTTTTAAAATCACATCATTTTTTATTACCTGGAAGAAAACATGCAATAAATTACACTTTATTTATGCATCCGTTTGATTGACAACAATTTTTGAATGCTTGCTTGCTTTCCTTCTTTCCTTCTTTAACTAGAGCATTTTTCGGGTACTTAAAGTGACCAAGTCCATGATTTTCCTATGACTTTCTCAGTTTTAGCACTAAAGTTCCATGTGAGTTTGAAAGAAGAAACTTATACAGAAGGCTATATAACCTTCCACTCCATCTAGTGATAATGTCAAGAGTTGTAATTCAATGGGTAGAACACAGAGAAAAACATAGTATATATGTACGTTTACAAAGCAAAAGCAATTCCAAATACATTGATTCAAATAAACCTGAAGCTTAGTTCTGTGAAATCTTTGGACACAAATCTTCTTGAACCTTTGGTTCTGAGTATCAAGAAAGTGATGCAGGAATTACAGTTGACCCAAGCCATGCACTGGGAGCCTGCAGTCCCAGTTTATTTATTCTCTTCAATATCCTCAGTATTTATTTATGTTTTCTCTGGTCTCCAAACCTTCAGTTTTCAGTAAGAAAATTGTCACAACTAGGTTTTTGTATTCTACCCAGAGAGTCTACGTCCTACTGATTCTAGGTTTACTCTCCTCCTAAATCTTAACCTTCCTCCTACTCGACACGCCTAAAATCACCGTGAATTCACTGGAAAATACAGAGGCATGATAAATGGCAGAGTTGGTAATGGAACAGCTGAGCATTCATTACAAAGTCAGATGAGTTCTTTGTCATTTACGAAGACAGGAGAGACTGGCATTAAAATACGGTTCATTAAAAGTGAATTTTAGCCCAGCCATTTACAGAGCCAAAACATCTGGAGACGATTCTAATTTATACTGGAGTGCCTTCAAAAACATTTGAACTCCTAACTAAACACAAGGGAATTGGTAAGTAGAAGGCTTTGGGTTTTGTGCTGAAGTGACATATCTATTTATTTCTCAGAACACTGCCATACATCAGCCTAAGTACCCTTCAACACAAACTCAGTTACGCTTTTTAAAAGTGTTACTTTCTCCTCACCCTTCAATTTTTACCTTACCATTTTTGCCGGAATACATGTTGACAAATAATTCAGGGAAGTAAGTGGTTAAGCAAGCTGAACTCATTCCCCTCTCCAGCCCCTCGTACAGATTACTCATCCTTATCTAAATAAAAGACAGAGGATCAGAGCTAAGTCAATGGACGAGGTGCAGGGGTACAAATTAATCCAGCGCAACAGACGGCCCAGCAGAACTGTCCCTGCTTGTCGTGCAAAACTGCCCTATCTCAGGAGCTGTCACAAACAACACCCACGCTTTCCTCTCCAACCTATGAATTGAGACTATTTACATGATCCTTTACAACATCATTAGCCTTCACATTTTTCTTTATTTCTCATAATATCTTCTTAGATCATTAAGCAGCAGCTCTTCAACAAGTGAAAAAAAAATCTTACAGTCAGCTTGGGGGAATGTGTGAGTCAACAGTGAGTAAATACCAACTCATAGGAAAAAAAAAATCACTTAGGCAAGGACACAAAGCTGTTTTATTCCAATTCCTATTGAGCAGTATTATATAACATTTTATTCTCCTAATATCTCCTTTTTACCAGGAAACAAAAACAAACACAAAAACAGCACAACCGTATCTTGCTAATAGTTTCTGTATCCAATTTCAAATTTTATTTTAATAGCAAAGACTTTCCTGGTCTTACCAGTCAAGATAAATTAAGGTTTTTCTCTGTTTTTCCTCACTGGGCTATTCAAATCTCTACTGACTAATTTCTATCTGTCTTGGATAAAAGCGTATGTCTCCCTTCCCGAAATGGCTTCCATATTTTCCAAGGGCAGAGACATTGCAACTTTAGTGTATTTCCCAAATACCAAGCCCAGTGCCTTCCCCAGGACAGGTGCTCAACGGACCTCTAAAATTAGGCAAAGTGTATCACCAGAGTTGGTCAAGGACGACCTTTGTTTAACATGCTATGTATAGTGTCATTTACATTACGTTAGAAAAGGAAGTTTTAGTTGTGTATGTGTATTCCTCCACCAAATCTTTTGTTTAGAAACACACTGGAATCTGTCATAAGCTACTAT